ACTATGGTGATGACTCTACAATAACAGGTTGCTATAGTGATTACTCTAAAGTCACAGGTTACTATGGTGATGACTCTACAGTCACAGGTCGCTATAGTGATTACTCTAAAGTCACAGGTCGCTATGGTGATTACTCTACATTTAGAGGTGACACACATTTTTCATGCAGAGCTCAAAAAAAGTGTTTTAGAGTCTCCTCTAAAATCTACATCAATGTTTGCTCCACAGAAATCAACAGTACATGGCTCTGACTCTTCTGAGTACCTGCAGGGCCAGCGCTGGGAGAAGATGGTTCGAAAACACTGGAGGAGTCGCTGTTGGTGTTGGACGCCTGCTCAGACAGCTTTTTTTTGGTGCTGCCATCGGCTGCTTTGGGGTGAGATTTCTTGTTCTTGATGAGGATTTTGCCCATGAGCTCTTGAGGACTGGGTAGAGGAGTTCCAGGCTCCAGCTAAAGCACACACACACACACACACACACACACTAAAACATCAAGGCATAAAAAACAGGCCATCTCAAATATTTTAAATAGTTAGCACATCAGATGTTACCTGTTTTCTTATGGTCATACATATAAAGAACCACTTAATTGTAAATACTTTATTCATTCATTCATTTAATCATTTATTAATTTTCTTTTCGGCTAAGTCCCTTTATTAATCTGGGTTCGCCACAGCAAAATGAACCACCAACTTATATGTTGGTGTGAACCCCCATACAAGCATATGTTTTACGCAGCAGATGCCCTTCCAGCTGCAACCCAGTACTGGGAAACACCCATTCACAACTCCACAGAGAAACGCCAACTGACCCAGCCGAGGCTCGAACCAGCGACCTTCTTGCTGTGAGGTGATCATGGTACGCACTGAGCCACCGTGATGCCTGTAAATACTTTTATATCAATATTTTTATTTCTTATTTGTACAGTTGAAAAAACAACAGTGCACATATTGCACATAAACCATCATAAAATTATTTACCCTCCTGTCTTTTTTCTTAATTATCCAAAGGCTGTTGAACAGATCAAGGAATTTTTCACAGTATTTCCTATAATATTTTTTCTTCTGGAGAAAGTCTTATTTGTTTTATAAAGCAGTTGGCCTAGTCAAAGACTAGTATCTTGTAAAAAAAAATATCTAGTCAAATATTATTTACTGTCATCATGGCAAAGATAAAATAAATCAGTTATTAGAGATGAGTTATTAAAACTATTATGCTTAGAAATGAAAAAAAAAAATCTTCTTTGCGTTAAACAGAAATTGGGGAAAAAGGTCCCACTTTATATTAAGTTTCCTTAACTACTATGTACTTACATCAAAAAATAAATACAATGTACTTACTGTTTTTATAATGTATTTGAGAACACTTGTGGTGCTTTTGAATCGGGATAGAGGTTGGGTTATGGACAGGTTTGGTGGCATGGGTAGGTTTAAGGGTGGGTTAAGGTGTAAGGAGTGGTCAACAGTGTATTTACAAATGTAATTGCAAAAGTTAAATACAAATGTAATTACATACATGTATTCAATCAAGCATAAGTACACAGTAAATACATGTATTTACAAAATAAGTACATTGTAACAAACTATTAATTCCTGTGTAAACACATATTAGTTTAGGCCACTTAATATAAATTGGGACCGGGAAAAAATATACATATCTACAATACCTGACAAAAGTCTTGCCGCCTATCCAAGTTTTAGGAAGAACAAATAATAATAAGATCTTTTTGACTAACTGCATCCCTGTTTAATGTTTATTGTCTTTTTTCATATGTATTTTGTGTTGTCACTTGTCACTTTATGTACACTGGAAGCTTCTGTAGCCAAAACAAATTCCTTGTGTGTGTGAGAAACACACTTGGCAATAAAACTGATTCTGAAATAATAACTCGACTTCTAGTTGATCATTTGGTATCAGAAGTGGCTTATATGAAAGGCAAAGGCCTCTAGATGACGCTTATTTGACCACAATAAAATATGATCATGCCTTGATTTTGAATGATTTCATTAGGACAGTAAGGTCTGACTTTGCTTAGACAAAAGTCTCATCACTGAACAGAAATAATGTCCAGTATAGAATATAAAGTCCTGCTGCAGTGGAGACAGAATGAATATTGTGTCTGACTCCATCATGAGCTTGGAGGACTGCATCCATGATCTCTGCACTGACTCAAATCACTGATTAATAAAGTCATCTGGAATGGCAAAGAAAGTGTTCCTGCAGGACTCCCAGAGCTCTTCAAGATCCTTTGCAATGATCTGCAATGCCCACTCCTTCATCTTACACCAGACATGCTCAATAATGTTCATGTCTGGTGACTGGGCTGGCCAATCCTGGAGCGCCTTGACCTTCTTTGCTTTCAGGAGCTTTGATGTGGAAGTATGAGAAGAAGCTCTATCCTGCTGGAGAGTTTGCCCTCTCCAGTGGTTTGTAATGTAATGGGCAGCACGAATGTCTTGATACCTCAGGCTGTTGATGTTGCCATCTGTTACGTGGTTCTGTATTATATATATTTTTATTTTAGTACAGTTGTGTGCTTTGTTTTTGCGCTTGTCTGAGTTTAAGGTGGAGTTTGTGAACGGCTTGTCTGGATTAGATGACGATTGAATGGTGGTTCAGTCTCTCTCTCTCGTTCGCTCTCACGCTGTCTGGCTGGCGGTGCATCTTTTTATTGCTATGTTTTTGTTAACTTTTTAATCCTTTAGCATTCTTAATATATTAACTATTTTGCTTTGTTTGTTTATTTTGAGGGCGATGCGGTGGTGCAGTGGGTAGCACGTTCGCCTCACAGCAAGAAAGTTGCTGGTTCTTGCCTCGGTTGGGTCAGTTGGCGTTTCTGTGTGGAGTTTGCATGTTCTCCCTGTGTTCGCGTGGGTTTCCTCCGGGTGATCCGGTTTCCCCCACAAGTCCAAAGACGTGGTATAGGTGAATTGGGTAGGCAAAATTGTCCGTAGTAAATGTATGTGTGTGTGTGGATGTTTCCCAGTGATGGGTTGCAGCTGGAAGGGCATCCACTGCGTGAAATAAGTGCTGGATAAGTTGGCGGTTCATTCAGCTATGGATTAATAAAGGGACTAGCCGAAAAATAAATAAATGAATGAATGTTTGTTTTGATACTTTGTTTAATTTTTTTGTTGCAGGTAGTGGATATTAATTTTCATAGTCACATTCTTATTTATTTAGTTCGGCAAAAGCAAGCAGTGGCCCGGAAGACTCACCTGTTTTCATTCTTTTTCACAAGAGCTACTGTAGGTAAGATCTCTTCTGGAAGAACTGCTATAGTCAGGGAACTGTTCTGTTTAGGTGTTATACTCCTGTATACTGTTAATTGTTATTATTTTCTGTCTTGTTTCTTTTTGCAAGTTTGATTTTAGGAGATTAAAAATATTTTAACGGGGACGTCAATCTCATATTCAAGCGTCAATGTCTTTCATATGTTCGGCTCAAATCCTGCTTTCATTAATAGATTCAGTATTGGATATTGGGCTGTAACCATTCACTCTGCAGATCCATTGCATGCCCCTATACTAAATGTAACTCCAAACCATGATTTTCCCTTCACCAAACTTGACTGATTTGTGTGAGAATATTGGCTCCATGCTGGTTCCAGTAGGTCTTCTGCAGTGTTTGTGATGATTGGGATGCAGCTCAACAGATGATTCATTTAAAAAAATCTGCCACTTTTCCAAATGATCAACTAGTTAAGTTAAGGTTTTATTTGTTGCTCTTACAACTGGGATCGACGACAAGACTTTTGTCAGGTAGTGTATATATATATATATATAATCAGGGCTTTACATTAACTTTTTTGATCACCAGCCACTGTGGCTAGTGGATTTCCAACATTACTAGCCACTTGTCCTTTTCACTAGCCACTATTTTGTTGTTTGGAAAATATATTTTACATAAATAAATGTGACTTTGACATGCTAAAATGACTTGATTTAGATATTGTGTTGTCCCAGATCAGCAGTTACTACACACAAATGGTTGG